GGGTACAATGAAGCAGACATTTTTATACAGTTTATACAACAAAGCTTGATTCAACCTTACGGAGGACACTTTAGCACTATGTATCAAAATTCTTAAGGGTAGTCATACTTTGTGGGCTTCTGGAAACAGAACAATGCTTAAAAACAATGAAAGAACTCAAAATGGAAAAAACTGCTAAATACGACTATATCCATCAACTCATCCATTGATCCCTACGTCCAGTATTTTTGACCCTGGTAATTCAAAAATATGCAAACATACCCAGCCCCTGGCTTAAAGGTTAGCTGGGGAGATAAGCAGTCAAACAATCAAGTAAAATAAAGAGATAAGAGCCACGACGGGTAAGTATAGGGTGCTACGGTGCACATAGAAGGAGCACCTACCATAGTCTGAGAGTGGAGTCAGGGAAGCTTCCCAGAAGAAGTGACATTTAAGCTGGGACCTGAAGGATGAGTAGGAATTAGTCAGGGAAAGAGATGAAAGAGAAGTGTTCCAGGTAAAGGGAACAGCATGTGCAAAAGCCTAGAGATCAAAGGGAGCGTGGCATGTCAGCTTGACTGAGCAGTGTGCAAGGCAGGGACTTGGGAAGAGACAAGGTTGAAGAGGTAAGCAAGGTTAGTTCACTAAAAGTCTTGAGAGCAAAACTCTGGAGTGCAGACTTTATTCTAAGAGCAATATAGACAGTTAAAAAGCAAACAGTTTTCATAAATATAATAAAGGATTAATATAAGGTATCAAGAGGATATACAGATTGAAAAGAATGAACAAATAGCTTATAAAATGGAAATATAGGATTGTAGTGAAGGTTGTACAATACTATAAGTTTACTAAAAATCACTGAATTGTACACTTATTAGAAGTTTTATTTTAGGGTTTATAGACTATACTTCAGTAAAGTTATCTTTTTAAAAAGGTAACAGAAATGCCTAATAAATGTCTGAAAAATATTCAACTTGTCTAATGATACACATATCAAGCCAACTTGGTTCTACTGTTTATCCTGAAAAATTACCAATGATTAACAATGAAATGAGACTATCCAGTGTTAATAAAACTAGGAGAAATGAGCATTCTTATACTGTTTGCTGGAATAAGTGTTAACTGAAAACAACTTTCCTAGAAAGTATAAATATGTAACAGGAGTCTTAAAATTGTTTAAACTCTGTGATCCAATAACTATTTCTTGAAATCTTAAATGTTCCAAAATGCCATCAAATATTTATGCACAATGATGTTCACTGAGATGTAATTTATAATAGCAAAAACAAAAGTTAGAAAAAACTTAGATATTCACCAACAATGGAATGGTTAAATGAGTTTATAATATAACTACTCAATGCAGCTATTTAGGTGATTTGGCAAAACATCTATGACATTATATACCAAGCTTTTAAAAAACTATACAAAATTAATATATACAGCAGCATTTCAGCTATGTAAAATATATGCACAGCTATACAGCACATATCTCTTATTCTCTCTTCTGTGCTTTTCAATATTTTCCAAATTTCCTACAGTTGGCATGTATTATTTCTATAGTTTAAGGAAGTTTCTAAAGTTGTCTTCAAAAAATTAAAAAGTATAACTTTTGAGTATTACTTTATATAAATCAATGTCATAATTACTATGGTTTTATTTTCTCTGCCTAGGAAGACAAGTGTGGTCATATTTGAATATATACATAATTCAATAATATCTTATTTATCCCACATCATCAGGAAATGATACATGTATATAAGATACATACAGATATGAGATATTTATATATATAAATGAGTTTCCCAATTAATTAAAATATGCATCTTAAACATCAAAACTTTGGTGAGAATCGGATGGATCTCTATTTAAAAATATACTTCACTCAATCCTGACTGCTTAAATCAAGACAAAACAAGATTAAGCTTCCCTATGATGATTTGGGGTCATGATTATAACCATATAATAATTGCTCTGAAGGAGTACTAGGTTTTAGAGGGGTATCTGTCCATACGTTAAATAGTCCCTAACTACTCAGTTTTTTCTAAGGCCAGCTGTTAGTAGGTTTTCTTCCTCCTCCCTTACTGTAAAACCATCAGCTATCATTTCCCAGAACTATAAGGAGGCTGCCTTTAGCAGCACTTGCCACTTTCCATTCCTATCTTGCTGTTGGTAATCTTCTAGGAGTAAGGAAGTTAAATATCCAAGTTTATAAGATTTCTGTGTAAACTAAGAGATAATAGGCTTCAAATAAGGATATTATCTTTTTTGTGATTTGTACAGACTTGCATGATTCCATCCTGGACAGTCAAGACAGACAGTTAAAACAGACAGTATATAAATGAACTCCAAAGACAGTGTGAGTTCTTGATTGTATCTCAAGTGTTGGTTTCTCTACTATACTGGCAGTCAAGTTTTCAGGATCAGAAACTCATATGCTGTTTCTCCTATCACACCATGGAAAGAGATGTGTACTCAGAGCTAAGAAACTCAGTTCTAGTGCAAGTTCTTATACCAACCAGTTTTGTAACCTTTAGCAAGCCTTTTAACCGTGGTATCTGTCCTGCATAATTTTTGAGGCTATTCTAGAATTAAATTAGACCATGAACACAAAACCACGCTGAAAAGTGTAAAGCACTATACAAAAGTAAAAGATTTTTATGGTATTTCACTGTGTTTACATTACCCTGGATCAGTATAGATATCCATTCAGAAGATTCATACCAGAAAGAAGGTAAGGTAATTCTTAAATTGCCCCCAATTTATTAGGAAACATCTATTATCTAGGAAGAACAATACATTCCAAGAGTTGGTGTCTCTGATTCCTCCTCCACTATATCCAGTCAGTTCCAGGTCCTTTGTGTTTTTCTCCACAATCACTTACACCTGTCCCTTTCTTTCCTTTCTTTCACATTTCCAGGCCATTATTGTCTCACACCTGGGCTACTGTAAAAAAAAGTCTCTAGCTGGCTCCACTCATGCCTTCCTCCCTCAATTCCCTCCAGCCCACAATTGCTAAATTAATTTCCTTAAAACATCACTGCGATCATATCTACTCAAAAACCTCTAAGGACTCTCCATTACCTTCACTATCAAGTTCAAATTCCTAAGTTCAGCAGTCTTTTTGCAGCTCTAGCTGCCTCTTCACCTTTATCCATTACTAGCCTTCCAAACAAATCCTTTCTCAACCACAATTTAGGTCCTTCAGATATATGCCTTGTATGTTTCTGCCTCTAAAGTCTTAGTGTACACAGCTTCTCTCCACCTAGAATACTCTACTTCCCAGCTTCCATATCAGCCTATAAAAATTCAACTATCCTTCAAGGCTTAGTTTAAGAGGCATTAACTACATATACTTCTCTTTGACTACCAGAAAGGAAAAAGATGGAAGATTCTAAAGTTAGACACATTTGGGTTTGAATTATAGCTTCAACAGCTGAGTGTCACTGGGTACATTCCTTAATAGCTCTTTGCCTCTGTTTCATCCATAAGATGGGGATGATAGCAATTTCCTCAGGCATATTGTGAAGAGTAAATAAAATAATTCGTGTTAAGAACTTAGCATGGTGCCTGGCATAGAAGTAGACCCAAGAAATGTTAGATACCATTAGTATTACTATTGCTATTAGTGAATTTATCTTAATTTGAATTCAGACAATACTTACGGCCATTACAAACTGGCTGTTCATGTACATAACAGTAACATTCCCCTCACTCTCCTTTTCTACCCTCTCACCTGACCTTTGTTCCTCCTCCTGTTTCCTTTCCTCTCCCTCTCCCTCCCAAGATTACATAACCCTGATGGACAGGGTGATTATCTTACACATCTTAGTACTATAATAGTCATTCACACCCAGTAGATGATCAATAGATTTTTTTAATCTCTAATGAAAGAATACAGAAGAACTGACAGTATTAAAATGTCTTACCTCCTATAGTAAAAAAGCATAATAGAATGCTTAAAATGATTAATTAAAAAAATCTAAATTTCCAACCTCACAAAATTAAATCTCTCCTTTCATAGTTCTGTAGATTCTTTCTGCTCTTTTCAAAAACAAACAACTCAACCTATTCATGCAGCAAGAGATGCAACAGCAAATATATGCAAGTCAGACAGTAGCCAAATACTGGAACACAAGAACCACAAGGTAATTCAGCTGGAATGAGCTCTCGGTGAAGTGGAATAGGAAGGCAGTTTAAAGGGAAAGGTAACTGGCTCATAGACATGCTAACAATGCTGACTGTTTCTCACACATACACACACACCAGTCCTATGATTCTTTTGCTCCCAGGGCCACATATAAATGACTGAAATAACCTGGCTACTATAGCAAGTCAATGGAGAAATATCAGTCATTTAGCACAACAACTGAGCTTACCACACGATCAATTTAATTACCTATGTCAAAAGTGTCTATTAACGTACCTCAAGATTCTAAAATAACCAAGTTTGGGCTAATTGAGTCATATCAAGTAGATATGGTATTACTGTATACTAATCATTCACCTCAAAAAAAATCAGTATGATAACTACATATATATATACACACACACACACACACACATATACATTATTATTACAACATAAGCTGTTTTCAACAATGCCCAGGGAAATCATGTCACTGTAATACTGGTTCCCAGTTTATATGCATGACTCAACTAACCTTCAGTTGCCTTCTCATCCAAAATTAGGCCTGATAACCACTATCCTCAAAAGGTTTACTAGTGGAGTGAATTAAGATGATCCGATGGTATGTTGATGACCTTCCAAAAACTAGCATAAAGTACCATATATAAGAATAACATATATTAAATTTCTATCCCTATAATATTTGTCTTCAGAGGATCCTTAAATATTTTACTAGCTTTTAAGTGCAATTATTCTCAAATCACATAATCTTAAGAGTTGGAAAGAGGCTTAAAAATCCCCCATTGCAGGAATTCTTTTTTTTTTTTTACATTTTTTATTGATTCATAATCATTTTACAGTGTTGTGTCAAATTGCAGGAATTCTTTATACCACCTCCTAGGCAAAAAGCTTTTCCAGCCTTTACTTGAAACTTTCAGTAAAAGGCACTCACTATTTTGCAAGGCAGTCCACTCCACTGTCACAAAATTCTTCTTTACAATGATTGGAAATCTGCCTCCTTGAACTTCTATCCAAGAATCCTAGCTAGATCTGCTCTCTGGACCAACACAAGTAAGTTAATCTCTGAAGTATAATTATTTCTAGAATTAGGATACAGCTGCCAATTTGGTCATACAAAGTGCAAAAGAAAGCTCAGGAAAAAAAAGGAAACCACCACTATACACAACAAAATTTTGAAATTGAGGAAACTATGTTGAAATCACAAACCAGCATATTTTCAAGATATCAAAACTCACACCTGAGTTAACATATAAAAATTAAGAGTAACTCGATTTTTTTTTACAGTGGAAGGTGGTACAGTGTTGACTGAATTCCTTTTTTGCGGGTTGAAACCACTAAAAATCCACCAACAGTTTTAAAATTACAGTTCTGTAGGAAGTTCAAAATGGTTTTTCCAATAGCTCATATTTTCATTCAATCTATTTCCCTTTAAAACATCTGGATTTTTTTTTAAAGATCCCATTTCGCCCCCCTGTGCAGTTATTTTATTTTAAAAAATATTTTCAGAAATAAATTCTAAAAGAATGGCGTGTAAAGGAGGGGGTGGGGTGGGGCGAGGAACCAAGGCAAAGCCGGGCCCAGCAGGAAAAGGCTGGTTACTGGGTATTTTCCTTCTGAAGCACGCTTCACTGGCACAGGCATCTGAAGTAACGAGCCATACAAACACGACCCGAGAACAAGAATGATCATGAGCAATGAGTGTAAGGCATAAATGTCTCTAAGATGTAAATGAATTGGCACTGGTCATCAAGCAGCGCCAGATGCTTAGGAACCTCGTAGAGGGAAGGTAGGAGATTCAAGGAGGAGAGACCAGGGCCACCCTTTGGGGGAAAGGAGAAGGAAAGAAACCCACGAGTAACTACTGTTCAGCAGTCCGATGAAGCCCGAACGGACAGAGCACAAGAAAGACAGCAAGTGTCCTGGGAGAAGGCACACACCCGAGAGCCCGAAGAAGGGCGTGCAGTGTGCGAATAGTAAACGGCTCCGTGAAATGGGTGCCAGTAAGGGGTTGTGGGTGTGTGTAAGGGACAACGCAGGAGTCCCAGGGTCCTCTCCCTGCAGCAACAGAGGGTAAAGGAAGGGGGAGGGTGAAAAGCAAGAATGACTCATTCCCGAAAGGAAGTGCTCAAGCCGGAGGAAGGCATGCCACAGGGGGGTTATGGGCGAGGACTGTGAGGCGCTAGGTGCCCAGAGTGATGGGGACAAAATCAGCGTCCTGTGGTTCCTGCAGCTCATTTTTAAGATGGGAGGTGTGGGGGGTTCGCGGCAGCAGAGTGCCAAGGCCTGGGAAGCGGCGCGGCGCGTGCGCAGTGGCGCTCGGCGGGACCCGCTGAGGCAAAGCGGAGCCGCAGTGACAGAAGCGAGCGGAGCGGCCGCCGGGAGGCACTCACCGAGGCGCAGGGGCTGGAGGTAGTGCTGGGGGTAGGCGACCGCTGGACCGTGACCAAAGCCATCTAGGCGCTGCTGGGCTGTTCCGGGCAGGGCATTCTTGTCCTGAGTGTGGGGGGCGGGAGGGTGACGGAGCCGGGATGGGGCAAGGGGTGTGGGGTGGGGGTGAGGGGAACGGGAGGAGGAGGAGGCCGCGGGAACGGCCACAGACTCCGCACCCACCACCGGACTCTCGCAGATTGACTCGCCGAACGGACGGCTGGCGGGCGGGCGGGCGGGCGGTTCGGCAGCTGCGGGGCACAATGAGCGCTCCCAGTGCGCAGGCGCCACCTGTCAGCAACCGCCTCTCCCCTCCGCGCGCGTCGCCGCCTCGCCGTAACCCTTGAGTTGCCGGAAGCGGGCCGAGCGTGTGCGCCTTGGACCGCCGCCCCCTCCCGGCTTTCCTCCTTGGCGTTGGAATGGCGCTTTTGGCCACGCCAGGGCCTGTGGCGTGGGGTTGGGGTCCGGGCTCCGGGGCTGGGGGGGCGGGGGTCACTGGAGTCCCTACTTCTGAGGGACAACCGTTTTCTGAGGTGAGGCGCACAGCTTAACCCACCTCAGTGAAAAGAGACTGAGGTGAAAATCCTGAGGCAAACGTTTTATGGTGAGAAAAGGCGCTGTGGGGTTTCAAAAGCTCTCTCTGCACGGGGCTGGGACTTCCTGAGCTAGTAGATCCTCCCTTTGACCCGGCTGTCGGGGGCTTTTTCTGAGCCTTCCCCCTCTTCTGTCTCCAAGTCCATGTTTTATGATGAGACTTTCCGAAAGGAAGAAAGATTTTAAATTTCATACCTCGGAAGTCTTCATGGTACCCTCGCGCTTCCTCTCTTACCCTGGCCCCTGTCTAAGGACTCATTCATTATTCCTGAGGTGCGGAGAGGCTGAGTGAGCCTGGGAGGCCGAGAAAGCCGGGCTCACAAGAGTTGTAAGGGTCCAACCTACTAGTTACCTCCAACTTGCTTCCTGCTGGGAAGACACTCTCTTGACTAAGCAGGATTTGCTCAATGGGGTGGGTTTCTTCTCCTTTGTCTCTAGATTTCATTATTTCATAGACTGCGACATGCCAACTAAATATTTTAAAGAAATAGTTTTCTGAAAGATAAATCATCAGCTGAACATAAGCCGAGAATGTAATAAAAAATCAAGATTAAAAGTTGAGGGGGGGATCGCACTATGCAAATACCACTTTGATTACACAGAGAAAGAGAATTGACAAAGCTATTTCTCAGTTTGAGTGGGTGTGCTGCAAAATACAATCATACATATCAAAGCTGTAAAAACACACATTCAGGAGTTTGCAGTTATTAACCCACTGCCTCCTCTTTTGTCACTCAAACTGTCTTGGATCTTGTTGCTTCTTTTATATTGACAGAGCTGTCATGAGCTCTTTCTGGCTGCTGTATGGTTAAATGCCACTGGAGCCCTCTGTGCTGAGCCTTTGTTCTCTCCCTGGGGCCCTGTGGTTGAAGTAATTAGCAGGGAGGTTCCATCAAGAATCAGACACTGAGGGTCCCTGTACTGTACAGTCCTATGTAGAATGTACTGCAGAGAAGCCAGCTGGTAGGCTTTTGCCCCCTGGCGGTGATCAAGAGTGCCTGCGAGACAAAATTAAACAAAGATGTGTGGTTCACAGATTAAACAATCTGACTGTGTTTTTCCCAGAGCTACTTAGTAAACAGGAAAAGAGAAGACAAAGTTCAGGGGTAGGAACTTTGAACCAAAGCTTAGGAGATCAAACAGGAAGCTATATGCGTAGGCAAGAAATATACATAGCTGAAAGCTGAATGAACTGAACTAAGTGAAACATGCTTTATAAACCAAAGATTCATTCCAGAAAAAAGTATTTTTCAAATCAATAGATTTTAGTAATGTACTTATATGTTAATTTTCTTACTGACTCAGGGACAGCAGCACTGTTATCTACTTTTGTGTAGCAATATAATCTTAAATTTTTTTGGAAGATGAGAGACTGAATTCCATTAACCTTATAGTGGGAAAGAGCACTACCCTAGGAATCAGAGGCCTGACTTCTAATTCCAGCTTTGTAAAACCTTGAGCAAATGGCTTAAACTTTTTGAGCTTTAGTGTCTTCATTTCTACAGTGGAGCGGTAACTCACAGGATTCCTGTGATCAAATGAGATAATGTACTGTGAAGTGTAGTAGAAACTGTAAAGCCCCATGTGTAATTAAAATAACTTTATTATTCTCTAAAGTTTGTTCCAAGTTCAGTCAGCTTTTGTTGTGTATCCCATGTGTAGAAAATGACATTAAGCAAAAATGGAATTAAAAAAAACTAAAAAGACATGATTCCATGGCTTTTCTTAACAATAAAAGTAGATTATTGATCAAGACATGTCTCATCTATAGGTAGGTATAAAACATCTTTGTTCAGCATATCTGAGGTAGTAAAATCCTGGTCAAAACTGAGATTATAGGGTACCCAAATTCACATAAGTTTTGTAACAGCAAGTTAATTTATTTGTGGGGGAAATATCTTCCTGGTATATGATGTTTTAAGGAAACTCTTTGTTGCATGTTCATTAATTTATTCACCATTGATTGAGAAAATACAGAGCATGTAATATATACTAGTCACTGTTTTAAAAACAAAAGTCTATCTACCTCTCAGGAGCTCATAGCCTGTTAGCGGGGGGAAACACATCAAATAATTACAGTAGGGTTTAGTGGTACTGTTGTTTCAGTCACCTTCACATCTGCTAGGCCCCAAAGGAAATACATATGTGGAAGTCTAGATATGTACAAAGTGCTTTAGAAACAGAGAAGTTCTGGGCAAAGGTACACTTTATGATATTGGCTTTCAGGCTTTGGCTGCAGGTCCCAAATAGCACATTGTGAACTGATCTGTATCACATGTGAGCATTTGAAATCTATGCTCTCTGCCCCATTTATACCTCTTCTTCCCTGGGCTGCACCCTGGTTCCTACTTGGTCTTCTGGTGATCTGAGGGAAGACATATCTACTTCTAAATGAAGGAAGATCCTAGAATCCACAAAATATGCTAGTTGAATTCCAGGAGAGGCTAACAGCAGGATTCCCAAAAGAGAGCCAAAGAGAAAAGTTCTCCTAGTTCTATTGATGGTGCCTTTATTCTTCCCACCTGTGATAATGGAAGCCTGTTGTGCCATTGGAGTTTATTTAACCCTTAATTTGTATCATCACTTCTACATGTGTGAAATTATGAGGGCACTTTTGAAATTTTTGAGATCAGTCAGCTGGTATTGAAGCTTTAAGAACCTGATGAAAACTATTAACCATCTCTCCAGAAAGATTCACTTACATATTTCATCCCCACTGAAATCCATCAAGGAACCCCAGGTTAAGAATCCTGATCTAAAGTTAAAGCAGTGCTTCTCAACCTTTTTTTGTATCATGACATCCATAGAGATGATGATATTTGTTCAGCACACTGGGATAAGTTAAAGGGGATTTGGAGGCAACAATATGGGCCTTAATGAGAAAAGTTATTTTCTTTATATAATTATAATGAGAAAAAACATATTAAGGATAATATTAAATATTGAATTTGTACAAGTCTCTCAAAAATCTAATAGAAAACCTTAGATTGATTCTATAAACAATATTTTCTATGTAGGGTTTTATGATTGAAATGGCAGCATGCAATTGCTGAACAAGACAGCTTAGCAGTGATCACTTAGTCATTATTAATGAGAACTTAGTTCATACAGATAGGTGAGAAATTTAAAAGTTCTCACAACAACTCAAAATTCACAAGTATAAATTGTATCTAACTCTAAACGCTCTTACTTTTTCCCACTGGCAAATGTAATGTGGCAATATCTTATGAAAGTATGACTGGATTTAGAGTCCACTCAAACTTTTTTATATTAAATATATTTTACAAAATAATGACAAAGCTCTGATTTACAGAGTGTGACTGTTATTAGAGCAATAATTCTGCAGCTAACTTGGATGTAACTAAAAGGGCACATCAGCCATAAACAAAGAGAAGAATTCAATGTACATATGAAGAGAGAGATTGGGAGGAGAGTCCATATGCAGTATCTGGCAGGCCTCCCTGCCTTACCTGGACACACCTTAGGCTGTGACTCTTGCACCTTGAGCACCTGGAACATGCACTCCTCCAGCAGCTCCAAGGCTTAAGGTTTTGATGAGCAGCAATACACACTGCAACTGGCTTCTGAAAGTGATGCCTGGGTGGTAGACTATTCCTTGGCTTTGCCCCTTTATTAAAGGACACTTGCTTTAATTAATCAAGTCCTCCATTGTGCTTGCCCTCTGTGGGGCTATGGGGCACATTAGGGTGGATCATCAGACTCTGATTCTTTTGGGCTACTCTCTGAGAATCCTTAGGTCAAACTACTTCTGGACAGGAGTGAATTATGTAAAAGCACCTACTACACTAGCCCTTTCAGGCCATTCTTAGGACTGAATAGATAACTATCTTGGAGTACATCTGTAACTCATTCATCAGACACCAAATGAAGTATGTCACTTGAAAGACTATAGTTTATATAGCTAAGCTTATTAAATGGAGGGGGGAAATCACGGTTTCTGCCCTGAATAAATCAGTCCTTTACATATGAAATGACTAGTTACAAAGTAATATAACAAGTAGTACAGATGGAATATATAACAGCTAGGAGTGAGTGGAGTATGACTGAGTCATGTATTGCCTCTACCTTATTGTAATTTTTCTCAAATTTTAATAATCTTTTACTAATTTCATTTAAGAATCTGTGTCCAGATAGGAGATAGAAACCACACCCATTATTTGAACAGATAATTTAATAAGAATTGTTAACTAGATATAAAATTAAGTAGATGATTAAAAAGCTAAAAAGAGATATCTAAGGTATGACAGAGATAGCAATGGTTTTTACCTAAAGGGCTGGAAAAAAACCTAAATAAAGGAAGCAAAGGGAAAAACATACAGACTTAGAGGAGTGACCCCACAGAGCTGAAACTCAGATCTCTGAGGAGAATGTGCTCCTCGGCTGGTGTTGGTATCTCTGAGTATGAGGGGTTGCTCCATGGGTCCCAGGAGTCTGGGACCTAGACTTCTACACAGGAATACTGGTTGGCCGATGTCAGCGAAAATTCAAAACTGTAGAGAAACTGCAAACTGGATTCAGCTGTTGCTATGGAAAGCATCTGCTGCTGCCAGGCTAAAGTAGCATTGCTGGAGTGAAGTACACTGAACCAAAACACTACGGGAAGCAGTCATGAAGTAGACAGGAAGGAACAAGTCTCTTGTCCTTCCTCAGCCTTGGGGTCTCTCTCTGATGCCCCCAATTAGCAGAGCTTAACAGAGCCAGCTAGCAAGGCAAAGATATGTGGTTTTCACAGTCCAGCTCCAGCATGAGAAAAAAAAGTACAAAAGGGTGGGTTTGGAGCTGAGAAAATAATAATTGGCACTTGACTGATGGGGAAATTGATACCAGAAATGGAATTTATCTTCCATCCTCTGGTTTTGCATATATCTCATGAAGACAGTTAAAGCCCTTGCTACTTTCTGCACCCCAGATCCAATCAGCATAATGCCATCAATGTACTGGACCAACTTAATGCTGATTGGAAGACCAAGAGGTTCAATATCCCTGTGGACTATATTATGACAAAGAGCAGAAAAATTGATGTAGCCCTGGGGCAAGACTGTGAAATTATATTGTTGGCCCTGCCAAGTAAAAGCAAATTGCTTATGATATTTCTTGCCAATTTGTTTGGAGAAATAAGCATTTGCTGGGTCAATAACTACATGCCAGGTGTCAGGGGCTGTGTTAATTTGCACCAGTAAAGTTACTACATATGGAAGAACAGCTGCAATTGGAGGCATCACCTGATTAAATTCATAATAATCCACAGTCATTCTCCAAGATCCATCTGCCTTCTTCACAGGCCAAACAGGGAAGTTTAATCGGCACAAGATAGATTTCATCTCCCCTGCTTCTTTCAAATCTTCATTGGTGTCACTAATCTCTGTAATCCCCCATTCTGCCTTGCCAGCAAGGCTACAATTTTTGTTTACTCTCCTTGTGTGTGTGTGTATGTGGGGAGGGGTTGTTCCCAAGGGCTTCAACTTGACCCTTCATAAATAACGGTCCTTATTACAGGATCAGAGAGCCAATATGGAAATTCTGCCAGTTACCAGGTATCCATTCTAATTATACGTCCAAGAGCTGATAAAATCACCACAGAGTGAAGTTTATTGTGTTTCTTTGGAGGTGTCATGTCTCCCTAATTCTTTGTGATCCCTATAGTTTTTGTAGGTGTTTGTGCATTTGAAGAAACAGTCACCTTTTCCAGACTTTATGGACTGACTTTGGTATGGAAAGACCTTCACCTGCAGGTGGGCACATGCTGGAACATGCTGTGACCCTGTGTCTAGTGGTGCAGGGTGCAAAGTGTGAGGGCATGTAGCACCTCTGAATGGGGAGAGAGGCATGATGTCTTGTTGGCTCAGGCAGTTGGGGTCCATGACAGGAACAACTGCATGATCTTTGGTGACAGCTGTGGGCAGTTACAGTGGCTGTAGGGTTGTTGGAGCCTTCAAAGATACCTCCAGTCCAGTGGTGGTGGCCTGAGCCAGTGGTGTGCACATGCTTGGCTGCAGGGCTAATTGTAGGGGCTGCCTGCAGGGGCACAGTGGCAAGGACTGGGGCCAACTTGGGGCACACAAGCAGCTGCAGCAGCCCTGGCTGTCAGTGTGTCCTTGAGTGACTATAGAGGCTAGCTGCAGCCATGTACTTGGCAGTGGAGGTCAGTGACAGGAGTTGGGGCTGGTGTCTTGCAGGTGCACAACTATAGGGTTAACTGCAGGTGAGCAGAACCATGCAGGCCAATGACAGCAGTTAGGGTTGAATCCTGGCCCTCCAGCAGCTGTGGAGGCCTTGACTGTTGTAGGGCTGCAGGGGTTTGCTGTGGGTGTCTGCAAAGCAGTAGACACTGGTAATGGGAGTCAGGCGAGCAGCATGCAGCTGCACAGCCGCAGGAGTCTCCTGCTCCTCAGTAGTTATCAGTATCTTTCACTGGCTCTCCTTTCTCAGCCCTATTTTTAAGTATTCATCAACAAGGGTTTATCTTCACCCTTTTTTGTCTTCTCCAGGCTACTCTTATCGGTGAGCCCCACTAGCATCCTCATGCAAATATATCTTTCTGTCAATACCCAGGGATTCAAGACTCACAAGAAATCCAAGTAAAGGGCATTTCTTATCCTCTGTGAGTCTGAGAAATCAGAATGATGTATGATTTCTGTCTTATGCTGGGAAATCCCTTCCTCAAGGATAATTGGCTACTCTTTTACATATGACTTACACTCTTGCTAATCAGGATGCTATCGAACAGGTTTCTTAAATGTAATACCTCTAAACTCAAATTCATATCATTCCTCAAACCTGTTTTTTTCTCCTTTTTAAAAATTTCACTTAATGACATAATCATCCATTCAACCTTCTAAATACGAAAAACAAAAAACAAAACCCACTCAGTGAGCCTTAACTATTCCTCTTCCAGTCCTATCTGTTTTAGTTTGGATTCCCTGAGAACAAACCCTGATCCAAAGAGTTTAGTGCAAGTTTATTTGGAAGGTGATTCCAGGAAACAATGGTAAGGGAATACAGGAAAGTAAAGTAAGCCTCTATTATTGGATAGGTATCAAATGAATTATTGGGCTAGTTTCGCTGTGGGCAACTGAGGGTCAGTCCCATTGGGGAACTCTGGGAGATAGTATAGAACATACCTCATCAATGTACCACCCATGGGACTATATGCAGTTTCCTGTCCATCATTGGCTGAGAGCTTCTCCTATAAGCAATTAACTCCTAAGCACTCCTGACCTGGCATTTGAACCAGCAGAAAGCCCTCAGACAGAATTGCAGGTGGCCATAGTAAGAAACCATTCACATGCTTTGAAAAGATGAATCTGAAGGGATATGATTAAAGTACTGATAATGTCTGGCAGAGCCTAGACTAGAGAGAGGCATTCAACTCAGGTGCAGCCTTTAGGTACAAAATTTACCTTTCTCCCCTCCTCCAGTCTTTCACACTTCCTGTCTTTGCTGGCACAGTTAACTTCTGAAAAACACCAATTTGATCACATCTGTCCTATGCTTGAAAAGCACAGAATAAAATTCAAACTCCTTGATTTAGTGTGAATAACTCTTTACAGGTTGAAAAGTTACCTTTTTAGCCTCATCTTCTGCCACTTTTTATATAACAATGCTCTGCTGTGAATGCTTCAAACACTTTTTGAACTTTCATACCCCAGCATGTAATGTTCCTTCTGCCTCGCATACTCTTCCCCGCCCCCTCCTTTTCACACACAAAAAGTCTCATTAGTCCCTTAAAGTCCATTTTGGAAATCTATTTTTCTGTGAAAAATTCCCCAACCTCCCTTGGAAAATTAATTGCTATTCTTCTGTGTTCCTTAACATTTTATATGTACCTCTACTTTTGCACTTGCAGATGTAATTGCATCTGTTTATTCCTTTTTCCCTCACTAAACTAAGAACTCTTCAAAAGCAGTTCTTATCCATCTAACCCCAGTGTCTGCCTGCCTTACTGACCAAAGATAGATGGTGCTAGGCTAGTGCTCAGGGAGACAGGAAAACTCACCATAATAATCAAAACCATTAGCATTAAAAAAAAAAACCAACCAGCATCAGTAATACAACTGAATTTTTAAAAACAGTCAGTAAAGATTTATTGAGTTGAATTTATCTGGGTGCATCCAAACAAAACAAATTTTTAAAAGGAATGGGAGGAAGCCTTTTAGCAATTTCACGAGATGGACACCATAAGCAAAGAAAGCAGTCTGTGAGAATGTACAATTGGAACCTATCAAAGAAATCTATTTTATATTATTTATTATTTATGAACAGCTTCAAAAAGGCTTTGAGGCATTTTTGTAAGTATTGAAACCTGTTGTCTCCAAAGGCAGTACTTTTTGGTTTATTCAGCTAGAACATATGTTGATTGAAAGAAAAGTGAATACTTCAGCACATTATAAATACAACATTTCAAATTAAAGAGTCCCTAGATTGTAACTCCCCTAGAGGCAGAGGCCATGAATATAAAATTTACTTTTAACATAGCGCCTAGTCTAAATATACACAAACTCTTAAATGATTTTTGGAATAGCAGTGATTTTGATAATCTGAAACAATCTATAGTCATTTGCAATGAAGTGGGGGGGTGGTAAGTATCCATTTTAATTTCTTAATATGAATGAATAAGCCAGATAAATCATACTCCTCTCAGAACTCCCCCTCAAAAAGATACATTTTAGCAAGGTTATTATTCTAATGTCTTTCTCACATGACTTAGGTAGCCATGAAAGTTTCACCTCACTTTGATTGTAATTTCAAATATTAGTGAGGATGACAGTGTTTTAAAAAATTCAGTTGTATTACTGATGCTGCTTGGTTTTTTTTTTTTTAACGCTAATAGTTTTGATTATTATGGTGAGTTTTCCTGTCTCCCTGAGCACTAGCCTAGCACCATCTATCTTTGGTCACTAACAACAGTAATAACAGTAGTACAGTTTGAAAAGTTTGGCAGTTGAGAACTTATAACCATTCAGTAGAATGTTGGGATGGGGTAGGGGTGGAGGGCAGATTTTGATCTTCAAGCGTATTTTTTGTTGTTTATTAATATTTTCTTTCTCTCCTTTTGTTATTAATACTGGTCTGGTAATACTTTCCCCTACCATTTGGTGATATCTTTTAGGGGTCTAGATGAGTGAGTCAGCATCTCAAGAGGAACCCAAACCTGCTCAGGTACCTTGTCTACATAAGTTTCTAACCATTTAATCATGGGAGGATTTGAGATTCAATATTTTGGGGAAAATTGAGGTGCAATATCATATTCTATCATTGAAGTATTTCTCTTTTTTAGTTGAAATATTCTGCATCAAGTTTTGACAAAAATGGTGTCAACTAATAGTTGAGTTACAGTGGCCTGCTTCTAGTTGCTTGGCATTCTTTATACATAACAAGTCTGTTACTGTTTGAATTTGTTAATACAGCTACTTTATGTGATTTTATTTGTTATGATGCTTACTCATTATTTGATTTTTTTAATATCAAAAGCTTGCTATACTAAAGTATAAAAATGTTAGTTTTATTTCCAGCTCCTTTTAGATAACACTTACTAACACTAATTTCATTTCAGGAAAATGGAAAAGAAGACAAAGAAGGGAAACAAGAAGTGACTGAAGTGAAAGAACCAATTAAGGTAGAGTTTTCATGAATAGTCAGATATTAATGCTGGAGAGTAAACCGGACAAATTAATTTTCTTATTAAAAAAAGAAAAGATGCAGGTATTTAAAAAGATAAACAAAATGGCAAATGGGAAAGGGCAAATTTGTGTTGATCATTAAGCTGACTCATTTGAGTCAGTTGCAAGAAACTTTCATAGAAAGGTAAATTTATTTGTGAAGAGCTATTATGAAATACAGGTAAATAAAGTTTGCTTTCTAAAATCAGAACTAATACCCTAAGTACAATAACCACCAGTTTTAAGGGGAACTTAACTATAATTTCCATATTAATCATTTAAGTAACTTGGTGTTTAAATAAATACAGGATTTCAACAAGGAAGAATATTTTATAGAACAGGGAAGCAATTGAAAATAATTATATGGGTTCACTATTAAATTGACTAATGTGTGTCTTAAAAACCTTCTGTTATCATTCTTTTAAAAGTACGTCACCATGAGTACAAAAAAACTATCTTGCCACCATTTCTTCATAAAACTAACCTTTATTTTCCTCAATTCAGATGAAAATGTTTTCCTTTCCACCACAAACATGGAAGGTGATTCTAATAGTAAAAGAAAACAGCAGCATTTTGAAAGATCTTATTTCACTATATTGTGGTCTCAAATTATGTTTCTAGAAAGTTTTGTATAATTCAAGGATTAATGTACATCTGGAATAGTATTCTCAGCATATTACCTTGTTAGCAATAGGAAGATTTGGTGATATGTTGAGCCAATGTATTTTGTCTTGTAAATGCAGTAAATAGACTGTGATTACTGATTTGATTCTAATGTACTGCATTAAATCCTAGCAAAATTAAAGAGGAATGTTTGGTAACTTTTAGAAGGGATCTATCTGCATTCTTTAATTGGAGAGTTGATGGAACTTTGATGAAAAGCAACTCATTTTAAAATTGGTGTTTCTTAACAAATATATGTATGTAGATGCATGACTGGAACATTGTGCTATACACCAGAAATTGACATGTTGTAGTTGACTGTACTTCAGTGAAAGAAAATTGGTGTTTGTTTTTTCCTTTTAGAGTTCACAGAGTATATTGGACAGTTCGGCATTAGGCACCTGCAGCCATGTGGCAGGAGCAGCAGCAAATAAAAGCAAATCCCAAGGTAGAGAACTAGCCTTTCTTCTACACAATAGAATGTAAAACTACTAAGTTTTAGTTGAGGATGGATTCCTCAAGAGTCTGCCTTTTAAAAATATAATTCCAAGGGTATTTTAAATGCAATTTTGGAAATAGTTTAAAATGTATTCCCTTTACCTTATATTGATACTTTTGAGACAACTTTATGACTATTTATCTTGCACTTAAAGAGAATCTAAGAGAGCTGACTGACATATAGCAGACAATTCATTAATACAAAAGTAAAATGAAGACCCCCTAGTGATTCGACCTATCTGTTGTTCTTCTGTTGCTCTTTGAACTGCTGTACTTGACCATACATTTATTCTATTTGACTTCAACCCAATCCTTAACCCGAATCCCACATAAATTATGCAGGTTGAAAATGTATGTGTTCAGAATCAACAAATACATTGACAAGACATTCATGCCTTTTACTACAGTTTTTCTGACTTTAGATACTTAGTGAAATCCTATACAATAGAAATTTTTACAATATTTAAAATTTAACAATTTCAATTTATATTTTAATCAATTGAAATTCCTTTCCATTTAGTTTACAGCTATCGAGTGTTTAGTATGTGTTAGACTGTGCTAGGCTGAACTAGAATAATAATTATTAAAGTATTTTCTAAACTATAAATTGCTATATAGATGCTATTTATAACTTATAGACCCTTCTTTTTCTCTAAAATGTTTTTCTGTCTTCTAAACCAATTAAAATAATTATTTCTTCTGATTAATATGTGTTATAATACACACACATTAAGAACCAAACTTTCCAGCACTTATTTTGCCTTTATTATAAACTTTGTACTATTTTCACAGCTTCACTAATTTTTCAAAAGTTCCTTGGCAAGCCCCTCCCTACCTGCCCTCCTCACCACTTGCTCTATAAATACACTTTGCCTTTACCTTAATTGTCTGGGCTAGGTTTATAAGTGAACTCTTTTTTTCATTTTAAATATGTGAAACAGAATTGTGATCTGGGTAATGTGTTATAAATTTAATTAGGTGTTCACTTTAATCAGTTTATGGCCAAATTTGCATCTACAAATCTTCACACATGTATTCCATCATGTAATTTATTGCCTCTCTAGAAAACATATAAATCAAGAGTTTATGGTCTTCTCTGTTCTTGTGCTTTCAGTTTTTTACTGCTTTCCAATGTATGGTAGAGGGAAGTGTGTTTTGTTTGTTTAAGTTTGTTCATCCCAGTATGTGACATATACTGAAAATATTGCAGCTGCTTGTGATATCAAATGCAATGTGATGTATTTATTTAGTCAGTGATCAGTCACTATTAAACCTAATATTCTGAATCTCCGTTTGTAAATGTTTGTGTGTGTGTGTGCGCGTGTGTGTAACAAGTGAGAAGAGGAAATGTTATTCCAATTTCAACATGTCAAAGGAAGTGTCTTTATCCTTGTTATATACTTGTCAAAATTAAAATGATGTTATCCTGCCAGGCAGCTCCCAGGATACATATCTTTGCATAGAAAATATTGTGGTTAAATGTACAATGTGAATTCCTCATTTCTTTCCTTGGCTGTTGTATTTTTCAGGCTATGAACTTAACTTGCATTTTGAGAAATTTTTTTTGTACTGTTAGTATGCTCAGCTTTATTCTTATTACCCAGCCCTAAGATTAAAAAAATTTGTAGGAAAATGCCTTTTCCTATAGCTATTGAATTTTAACTCCAGTAGTGTTTAATAATGCTTCTTTTCCTCCTTCTTTCACAGTAGTCTGTCTAAATTCTGTACAAGTGTTAGGAAATCCTGATAAGACCAAGCCAGATGAGTTTCAACTGTGTTTACAGAGAACATCACACATCTAGTTGAGTAGCCCTGCTGGGTCAATTTTCACCAGTTTAATCAGCAGCCAGTCTCTCTAATGTTATATGCCATCTTGTGAAGAAAGAGTAGACTAAAGCTTATTATAATGTGGATTATAATTCATTCCTATTTATGTCCTTAAATAGAGTTGTACTGAGGCCATACCCATCAGTGGGCCATGCACTAAGTGCAGGAAATGGTAAAAGTCACTTATAAGGTTGGACTTTTCAAAATATGAATAAAGAATTTCTTTTGTGTCCCTACTTATTTAGTTGAAAGCATTTATGGTGCCCATAGTGCCTGAATAAGACTTCATATGTTAGAAGGTAGATTAATACAGGGGTGAAGGTATGCATGTTAGGAGAGAATTTGAAAGGCTCTTAATTCCATGAAAAGTTTAGGAAGGCAATCCTGGAAAAGAGATCCAGTACTTAGCATAGTGCCTGGCACTATGACATCAATAATTATTTATTTAGTGAATATGTAAATCAATCAATCTATCTGTAAAAGGTTTAGGAATGTCCAAGCACAGACCTGCTTAAAAAAAACCAGTGCCTGTTTGAAACTATTCAGTTGAACCACTGAATTAATTTTCCCTTGGGGCAGTGCTGTAATTTATGAATTCAGAGGTCACTCAATCAAAAGACAGCTACAGATAGGCTTGCTCGGATTCCTGATTTATTGACCCTGCTATTGCTGTGCCTCCTTTCCTTTCCTTGGTTTTATGGCTCTAAGAGAGAAATATTTGACTAGAGTTATAACCAAACACCCATCTACTTCCTTTCTGCTTATCAGTGGGGACAATGTGAACACTAGGTTTATTGCTTAGCAACCTGTAATAGTCAAGTACACTAGAGGAGCACTAGCAGCCTACAGCAAAGATAAGAAAATGTCCTAGTTCATGTGCAAGTTTACTAATGAACCATGCAGATGGCTAGATACTATGTTGCTATGCACCTGTAGCACTACCCTTAAAGCAGGAAGAGGAGTACCTGACTTTGGTTATGCTGAAGGGGTTAAAAGCAAAGAGAGTACATTAGAATCTGCAGACTTAAAAGAATTGTTCTCTTTCACACTTATGTAAAATAGAAATAAAAGTATTGCAGATATTATAGTGAGTATTGTGACAAAACAGGATGGAAACACTCCTCCCCCACTCCCCCAAAAGTGATTAACTTGTTTGCAAACCCAACTGAGAGGTAAGGTATAACATTGTATTACCCTCCTCACTTACCCCATATTGGAATAAGAGAATAAACCACAGAGGAAATCAAAACTTGAGTGGACAAATACCTATCCACTGTTGGATTTAAGACATTATCTAGATGAAATGTTGGCTTTTCAAGGGTTTTTAAAAATAGACTACTTAATTTTTCTCTTGGGCAGAAAGATAGATAATATCTGGGTAAGATTTAAAAGCATTCTTCAGGATGTTCTCAATAAAGCTCAGGAAAAGTTTTAAATAAGTAAAAAAATTTAAAAATATTTATGGGTAGTCTCCCCCAAATGGGAATGAATAAATACATTGCAATATAGTCATATAATGAAATATTATGAAACTGAAAAACAAAATAGAACTGCACTTATCAATATAGATGAATTTCAAAAGCATAATATTAGGCATTTAAAAGGCCACAGAATACATATGGTATGATACAATTTTTGTAAAATTTAAAAACAAGAACAACATTATATTGCTTATATATAAAATAAATAAGTGCAGAAAAGCGATAAACATGAAATTCAGAATAGTGTTTTTATCAAAGTAGGGGTATATGAAAAGCTTTAATATATAGGTAATGATTGAAGCATGACTCAATAATTACTTTCTAGTTACGTTAAAACTAATGAGTATGAAAATAATTTCTGTATCTATTTCTGTATCTACAGAAAACTGTATCCCTAGTTTTCTCCTTCATCTACAAAGTGAAAGAAGCAAAAGATTTTAACAGTACATGGCCCTGATCCTATTGTGGTTCAACTGGGTATTCTTTTTCTGTGGAGAGAAACAAATTGGCTAGTGGATAATATTTGAATAGACCTGAAACTGCTTCATCTCCATGGCCATGTGAGAAAAAAACCTTAAGATTCTCATTGAATTTTTCATTCCAATCACATCAGGAATCATGGGTGGAGAAAAGAAACCAACAACATCTGATTGCTTATTGTTCAGAGCCTTGAACTAGCTAGGTCCTGGGAACCTAGGGTCAAGCTACCCAGTTTTGCTAGGAAAATATCATACAATTTTGAATGCTGATGCAACAACAGTATACAATCTTCAGTCTCAGATGGACTGTCCATATTATTTGGAAATCTATCTATGTGTTTGTAGATTGCTTCTTTCCACCCACACAACAATTATTTCAAATGTTTATCATGCATAATTAGCCCATGATCCCACCATTCCTGAGTTTTAGCAATATTTTTTTATTACACAAAAAATAGAGGCTGTTAGAGGGAATGCCCTTAGTATATTGTAGGAAACATCTTATCCAAGTCTCATATATATTCTTGATCTTAATCCCTCACATCTCCTCAGACCCTGAGAACCAACATCTAATCTCTCCCGTAGCTTCTGTTTTCCTCTCTAAGTTGACTCTTGCCTCTCACTCGCTATAATCAAGCCTATCCCATCTTTAAAGAAAAATCCTTCCCTTCACAATCACACTCCTTGAAATATCCACTTATCTAGCCTGTGCTTTACCTCCAAGTCCCTCTTTAACCCACTGCAGTTTAGGTTCCATTCTCATCACAGAAATTTCTTCTCCCTAAAGTCAGTGCAGAACAACTGCATACTAAATCCAATGTATACTTCCTGCTTCTTAGGTCATTTGATTTCTCTGCAGCATTTACTACTGTTGACCACTTCCTCTGTAGTGATATATACTTTTTGTCAGCCCAGCATTTCTTTGGGAACCACCCTTCTTTCCTTCTTAATTCATTTGGTTTAGGTGGGGCTGACCCCACCCCTTTAGATCCAGGGATGGATGGTGATCCAAACCTGACCAGTCAGAATGCTCACCACCCCTTCAATGCCGTGGATGGTTCAGAAATAGGCATATAATTTATGCTAAGTCAATTAAAACCTTTCCTAGATTTCTTAAACTGAAATTTTAATGGTAGATTTTTTAATGTCAATGTTTATAAGGATTATGCAATTCCTAAGATGCTGGTGACCATTTTTATTAACATGTGGAGGACAAACTGCCTAAGAATTGTTTCAACAGAGCAGAGACTAGAGATGGGTTTCAGCTTTACCTGAAAACAGTTGTATTCCTGGACATTACATTTATATGAACTAATGCATCGCATTTGTAATTTAAGCTCTATGTAAGATGAATTTCTATTGCTCAAGATTGAAAGGGTTTCTAATAATACATCCTTCTTAAAACTCTTTTTCTTATAGTTTCTGTGATTCTAACCTATCCTATTTTCTTCCCAAATCCCTAGTCACTCTCAAACTCCCGTGTAACTGTCCTTTTCTGCCTATTCTTTTAAAATGTTACATAAGATTCCTTTCTTGGTACTCTTCTCACTCTAGACACTCTGAGTGATCTCATATAATAATAATAATAACAACAACAACAACAACATCATCAACATCAACAACAATAATAATAATAAATTCTTTATGATATATTTGCTATATGTATACATAATTTTCTCATCATGACTGTCCTGCAAAGTATAAAAAATTATTGTTTTCATTTTACAGAAGTATAAACTGAGTCTAAGTTGATTAACTTGTTCTATAAGTAACATGGCTACTGTATGTTAGAGCTAGAATTTGAACCCTGGTATCTCTGATTCCAATGCCTATAATATTTTATAACACAAGATTTATTCATTTATTAAATATTTAAGTGCTTACTATGTTTCTGACACTGTTCTAACCACTGGGAAATCAGTATTAACCAACACAAAGTCCCTAAATTAATGCAAGTTAATTTCTAAAGGTGAGTTAAAAACAGATAATTCCTCCTAAGAGATGCATGGTTTTAGCCAGTGCAATAAAACAAACAAAATAAAAATTGTAAATGAAAAAGTAGGAATATTTTTTTTTGCAGATGACACGATTGTGAACAAAGCAATCGATATAAATTTAGCAAGGTTTTCGGATACAAAGTCAATATACAAAAACAATTATACTTCTATTATATATTAGCAATCAACAATTAGAAAATTAAATTTTTTAAAATACAATTTTAATGGCATCAAAAACACGAATTATCTCAAAGTAAACCTAACCAAAAATGAACAAAAACCTCTATGCTGAAACTATAAAGCATTGTCAAAAGAAATTAAAGATGACCTAAATAAGTGAAACAATATACCTTATTCATGAATTAGAAGACTTACTATTGTTAAGATAGTAGCGTTCCCTGAATTGACCCCTAGATTCAACGTAATTTGGGTTTGATTTTCATTTCCCTAATGACTAATGTTGTTGAGCATTTTTTATATGCTTACCAGCCATTTGTATATCTTCTTTGGACAAATGTCTATTGAAGTTCTTTGCCCATTTTTCAATTGGGTAATTTGTTGTTGTTTTTGAGTTTTAGAAGTTCTTTGTGTATTCTAAATATTAATTCCTTGTCAGATATATGATTTACAAACATTTTCTTTCATTCAGTTGATTGTCTTTTCACTTTGTGATAGTGTCTTTTGATGCACAAAACTTTCTAATTTTGATTAAGTTCAATTTACCTATTTTTTTCTTTTGTTTCCTGTGTTTTTGGTGTCATATCCCATGAAGTCATTCCCAAATCCAATATTATGAAGATTTTCCCCAAGTTTTCACCTGAGAGTTTTATAGTTTTAGCTCTTAAATTTAAGTCTTTCATTCACTTTGAACTCACTTTTATATATTGTGTAAGGTCCAGCTTTGTTCGTTTGCATGGGTTACCTAGCTGTCCCAGCATCATTTATTGAAAACATTGTCCTTTCCCCATTTAATGGACTCAGTACCCTTGTTGAAAATTGGTTGGTTGTATATAAATATGAAGATTTATTTCTGTTCTCTCTATTCTGTGCCATTGGTATATATGCCAGTACCACACTGTTTTAATTACTATAGCTTTGTAGTAAGTGAACTTTGGGTAAAGTGAATTCTCCAAGTTTAATGTTTACAAGATTGTTTTGTCTATTCAGGGTCCCTTGCAATTCCTTATAGATGGAAGGCTTGGCTTTCCAGTGATTGTGGAGGAGGGGTAAGATATGCAGACAGTGAAGTCTGTCAGTAATTCATTTTCTATGTGTGTGGAGGCATTATGCTGCCTCTTTAGCCCAAAACCCCCTGTTTCAGTGCAAGGATAAATGCCTCTGGTGCCTGACGATTAGCTCAAACGGGGATGAAGATACACAAATAGGTCAATCATTCGCCTGCTACCCATATCTACATTTTTTAAACTTAGGGTGCCTCAAAGCTGCTCCCAAATTTCACAGTGATTGTCTGTATGTTTTTAGTCTCATGGTTTCTTCAGTCAGTCTAATCCCACCTACCTTACACTTTTCAGAGACTCAAAATATCTGACTATGAAGGCCGCCTTCATGATTGTTAGCATTATTATGTTCATTTTAAAACACACACACAAACACATATACAACCTTTTCTGTCATTTCTGGAAATTTAGATAGGGAGGGGATGTGGTGCCTATTCTCAGTCCACTATCTTGGTCTAGTATCTCCAACATGAAAGAAGCTGGAAATAATGAGAGTGTGAAAACATATATTTAGATATATTTACACGTGTGATAGACTCTCTTCATTGCCTACTCAGCAGACATTTCCCCACCCCTTTGTCTGCCAAATGAACCTCAGTTTTGAAGCAGATGGGAATCACTTGATATTAAAGAACTTGGTCTAAACCCTGATACAGAGGAATAAATTATGATTGGTCAAAATTATTCCCAATAATCTCTTTTCCCTTTATCAGCTTTTGGGCTAGGGCAGGCATGTAACCAAATTAAAGCCAATAAAATGTAAAGGAAAGTCTTGGAGTGAGAAGTCTGGGATCTTCTCTTCGATAATAAAACAATGTTGGGAGGAGACAGCCCCTTTGTTCTCAATCCTTTTCTCCTGTAAAGAAGTGATGCCTGGAGCTGCAATATCTTGTGATCCTAACATACAAGCACAAGAAATGAGTAAAGAACAATAGAAACAGGCTAGATACTTAATGAAAATACTGAGCGGTTGAATGACTTCTGATTAAGAAAACAATAAATGTCTTTATGGTTAAAGTTCCTGTTGTCTGAGTTTCTGTTGCTTTCAGCTGGGTTCAGACACCATGTAAATGGGTGTGAAAATTTTTTCCAATAATATCCTAAAGTAACATAGATTAAAATCTACTTCTAGTATTTCTTACATTTCACTTTTTGTCCCCTCAGAATTAAACCTGGAGGGGCAGTCAGATATCTCAAGGTGTTCAATAAAGGACTCTAACACTGGAGCCTCCAAGAATACTGTGTATAGAAAACCTGCAAAAGTGATTTTCCATTTAGATCAAACTGCAAAGCCAGAACAACCATGGAAGAAAAATCTTTTTGAAAGATTGCAGGCAAGAACCCAGGCAATGCAGCAGAAAATCATAGATAAGGAAAATCTGAAGAAGGAACTAGAAAAAAAGGCTGAAAAAAACCTTCCCAAGGATAATTTGGCCAAAGAGTGGTTTAATACTGAAAACATGACGCTGAACACTCGTGCATATTTGCTTGACAAACTTCTACCCACCTTAGTTCCTGGAGTGGAAAAAACATTAATGCAAGTGGAAAAGAAGAAGATTTTGGCAGAAGTTGATATTCCAACCAAGTTTGATCCAATTAATCATTTGGGGGAGTACTTAATGAGAAACAATCCTAATTATATCAAAGACTCAGGAATGTCTGGTTATCAGAGAGTGATGAGAGATGTCACAGAAGACCTGAAGATATATGTTCCGAATACTATCTACAACAGGTACGATTTATATTTTCAGCTGATGATCTAGCTCCTTACATTGAAAAGCAAGTAGAACAATAACATAATCATACAAACAGGACTTAAAATAAGTAATTCTATAGTTATTCAAAAAGTATTCATTGAGCTTCTACTATGAGCTTCACTATTTACAAGGCACTATGAAGACTAACAAAGTATATTAAAAAATTTCCTTGTATTCATGAATTTAATTATCTCACTAGGATACCAAGTGTGTTTTTATTTGTTTATTATCTATATTCCTGCACTGGAAAGTAAGCTATTTGGGAGTAGGGACTTTTTAAAATTTAACTTTTCAGATAAGCAATATGTTCATCTGGTTCAAAAGCCAAAATGTATAAAGACTTACAGAGTGAAAACTTTCTCTCCCATTTTTATCCTCTCTCCACCCATTACTCCACCTCTGCTATAACTACTGTTTTTAGTTCTCAATAGATCCTTCCAGAGTTTCTTTGTACATACATAAGCAAATGCAAATATGGGTTCTTGATTTTCTCTCTCTTATACAAAAGCATGTGAATGAGTTAGAAATATTTTCCTCTGTTTTTATCTTGTATCATATAGAGGATTTTTTATTTCTATAAGGTAGAATTTATCTACCTTTATTTTGTGGCTTCTAGGCTTTGAGTCATTGTTACATTTCATTTCAAGATGTTAAAATACTTGTCTCATATTTTCTTCTGGAATTATTATTATTTTGATTTTCTTTTAAAATATTGATCCAGTTGAAATTTATTCTAGTGTAAGATATAAGATATGGATTTAATTTCTTCCTTTTCCAAATGGCTACATAATGAATCCAATAACAATTATTGAATAGTCTGTATTTGCCCCACTGTTTTGAGATAAACTTTTACTACTAAATTCATGTATATTTTGGAGTGTATTTATGGATTTTTCTATCCTATTCCATTGGTCTATCACCCTATTCATGTGCCAGTACCACACTGCTTTAATTATTGAGAATTTTTAATATACTTCAACAAATGTGTTCTGGTCCCCATTAATAGCTCTTCTTCTTTTCTAATCACTACTTTCTATTCTTGTGTGTTTACTTTTTAACATGAACTTTAGGATTGATTCATCTACTAGAAAAAAAGGGGGGTAGAGAACACCAAAACAAATGTTATAGGAATTTTTATTGAAATCAGATTAAATTTATTCATTAACTTAGGGAAAACCGGTATCTTTAAAAATGATAAGTATTTCTATCTAAGAATGCGTATCTTTCTATTTGCTCATCTATTTTGTATCCATCAATGTTGTCTTAAAGATTTTCATATAGGTTTGTATCTCTTGTTAGATTTACTATTAATTATTTTATTGTTTTTTGTTGCCATTGTAAGTGGGACTTTCTTTTTCCATTATATTCACTAGCTAGCTGTAGTTTGACTACTTGAAAGCTGTTAATTTATGTATATTTTTGTACTCTGCTACCTTACTGAGTTCTCTTACTGTTTATAGTAAATTTTTAGTTGATTTTTTTGGGTTTTCTAGGGAAACAACCATATTATCTGCAAATAATAGTTTTCCTTCTTCCTTTCAATTTTAAACTTCTAATATCTTTCTCTTACCTAGTTATATTGGCTGTTACCTCCATAGACTGTTAAATGATAGTGGTGAGGTGGGCATCCTTGTCTTGCTTATGACTTTAGTAGAAATGATTCTTGTATTATTGCTTCACCATGAACAGTTCTTAAAAAAATAAATCTTAGTACCATAACTACTCCATTTGGATCTGAGAAAGATATATTTTATCACAGGAATGAGTGGAGATGATCATTTGATTTTCACCCTAGATCCATTAATAATGAATTTTATTAATAGATTTCCTAATTTTGAGCTATCTTGGAATTCCAGAAATAAATACCACTTGGTTGCTGTGTATTTAGTTACAATGAAATATGTTTACTAGTAAGACAGAATAAATCTTTAATTCTTTCCTTTTAATACAGATTTTCAGAATATTATATAGGTTATATCTCTATCTATCTGTTTATCAATAGTCATCTACAGTGGCAACAAAGGAAAGATGTTTCCCCTTTTGGGACATATTCTTGTTTAAGTATCACTATAGACACATGGATTTTAATATATATTCAATGTATTTTAATTCATTATAGTCATTTTTTCTTTCTGATACTCAACTTGACCTAACTTTGTCTCCTGTGTTTTTCTGACACTATTCCTTTAGTCTTTGAAAACTTCATGCAATTTTTAAAGGATTTTAGTTCCTTTTAATGGGAATCACTCATCTGGGAGCTAGGAATGCTCAAAAATATTGTCTTTCTTCTAGGCTCTTTCAGGGCTCACAGATAATATATTTTTTTAAATAATGGGTTTATATTGATCATTTCATATCAAATATAATGTTTCAGAATTTTTAACTAATTCCTTGATTTTTTTTAACACTGAAAATCTTGGTTCCTAACAACATTAACAGGATTACCTATTTGTTTTATCTTATAATTAACATAAATTAGCTTCAAAATAATAATAGAATGAGCCTAGTAATAGCAGAATTACTGTATGAGATTTTAGATTTACTTGCAGCTTTTTTATCCTTAGAATATATCCTACTAAGTATGTATATGTGAAAAAAATGAAACCATACAAAAACTAGAAGCCAGTGGTTAGCTTCCTTTATAATCAGAGAAAAGCCTTTTTAACCATGATTCAAATCATGAAAATATTGATAAATTTGATTACATAAAAATTAAACGATTTTGCCCAGAAAATTGAGTCACAACACTTGATTCTGCTGTTGTAGTACAAAAATAGCCATATACAATATGTAAATGAAAAGTATGGCTGTGTTCCAATGAAATTTTATTTATGGGTACTAAAATTTGAATTTTATAGAATTTCTACATACCACAACACATTATTCTTATCTTGGTTTTTAAAAACTGCTTCAAAATATAACAACCAACTTTAGTTTTTGAGTTGTACAAAACCAGGCAGCAGGCCAGATTTGGCCCCAAAGTTGTAGTTTGCTGACCCCTGGTCTAAATAATACCTATTAGGTCTCTTCCAGATCTAAAAACCAAATAGGACACTTTGATTTTCCTCCTGAGAATTCCTATTTTCCTTTGAATATACTTTGGCATGGATGCTTATACTAAAATTTATAAAAGAACCTAAAATTCTTTGTGACTTGTTTTAGTGTCTTTCCTATAGGGTAAGCAACTAATTAGAAGCTTTAGAATAATAATTCCTTGGAATTAGTACATATATCCATCTGGATAAGAGATATGTACAGAGCTCTTGTTTTATTTTATGTGTGGACATGGAATTTTTATTTTCAGTTGAAACAGTCTTTCTTGGAGTGTGGTTGCCTACTGATGACATCAGAATTACCTGAGTGCTTGGTTAAATGTGCAGATTCCTAGCTTCTTCCTCAGGTCTTCTGACTCAGAACCTTTAGGAATGCCTTTAAAACAGATTCCAAAAGAGGCTATTATGCCACTAAAGTTTCAGGAGCAATCATTTAGAGAAACCAAATTAAGGGAGTTTCAGTATAGTGAAAAGTTCCAACAGCACCAGAGAGCAGTGTCATTAAATTTAATAAATAGCTTAAAGAATATTTCCATTCTCCATCTGTTATTGCAGAGCAAGAAATTAGCTTTGCATTTAGATCTATTTCCATAAAATTTCTTAAAATTTGGGAACTGATGTCATGGCTGTAAATCAATATATTGACAGATCCTTCCTCCTGTTAGGGAATATATAAATCTCAACCAGTACATAAGACTCTAGGAATTTATCAATATCTGTAAGAAGAATAGTAATGGGCCCACTAGGACTCTGGTCTAGGTTCTACTGTCAACCAATCCCATGACATAAGAGGATTAATTTATTTCACTGATATTTCTTGAACTGAGAGTTTGAATATTTAGGGTATTTGCTTAATAAGAACCGTAGTTTCTATTGGAGCAATATTGTTGTAGGAATATCGTGGAAGAGTTAAAGTAATCAAAGATGCTTTCTTTGCCTGGATTGTCAGAATTAGAATCATCTCCTTCTGGTAAAAATTCAAGATCAGTATGTCAACATATGATGTAGGCATTTGTAGAATATTCAAAAACCATAGGGATGCTTTACAACAGTACAATGTCTGTTGACTTAAAGCTCAGATACCCAGCAATCTTAACAAAAACAGCCCTGCTTTTAAATTATCTAAACTATATTGTTGTTTGGGTTCTCAATCCATTGGAGAGCTTTGGTGAAGTACATTCATTTCAGGAATGAGAGTTTTCCTTATTTTTGTTCAAGAAAAAGGACAAATAAAATTTATTTGTCAAGACTTTATCCTGTGATGATAATGTTAAAGTGTTCATTTGACTCAACCTGATCTGAAAAAATTTTATCTGTTACTTCCCTGGACAAAAAGGGATTCATCTTTGTTTTGTGTCTAAATACAATAGATAGAGAAGGCACTCCTTACTGATTTGGAGCAATTTTTATAGTAGTAGCCACTTATCTGAAAAATAAAATATCACTGCTATTTATAAGTTTTATGTATGCAATATACTTTTATTGTTTTTCCTCAGGGTTCCTGAAAGATAGGCATAGAATTGAAGTGGACTTTAATTCTTACATGTAAATTTACAAAACTGATAAGAAGTTAGGTTTGTCATTTTGCTTTTCTTCATATTTTCTTTTCTTTTAACATCTTTCTTTTAGTATCTTTTCCCTCTAATTCTTGATCCTTCCAGTTCTTGGGAATGGATCTTCTATGTCACTACTGCCTTATTGTGAATTGATAATGAAAAATATTTGCTCTTAAAATAGGATTACAAACTCTTAGCAGCCTGACTATGGTGATAATTACACGTGTTGAAATTTGTATAACAAAGCACTGAAAAAGGTTAATTTTACTGCATGATATTTTTAAACATAAGAATTAAACATTTTTAAGAGGATTAAAGGAAAAGACTATTAATGATAGAATTTCACACTATTGCAGAGAAGCAGGGCCTATTGTACTATAGATTTCCTCACTTTTCTCCACCAGTTCTAATACACAGTCCTGATCTTAGAATGAGTTGAAATGAACCAGGAAGTACATTTAAGAGACCCAAGACAAAAGCTTGGATCTTTTCCTGTATGGCAGTTATAGTGACGCATACCCAATTGTGGTAAGGTAATGAGCTCTTATCCCTATATCTGTTGATTATTTCATAATCACTATATGGCCTGTGCTGCACCTTAAGGTATCTTTTCAGCATTTTTCCTGTGTCTCATCTCTACTAGCTTTAAGGGCTAATAATAGAACATTCAATCTGTGAAGAGAATCACAAAGAAATATTCCAGAAAATTACTTCCACAGCTACAAGAAGAAGAAAAATAAGTCAGTATAAATGCTCAAGCATTATGGGTACACAAACCAAATAAAAACTAAAAGGGAAAGAGACACAGATGTTTATTTTACCTATAGTAACTCCCTGAAAATTAACTTGTGTTCAGTGTTCAAGGAACTTATGTGACAAAGTCCTTGTGTGTATTTCTTTTGGAATATAGTATCTGCAAAATGTTCGAAGATTTACTTCAAAGTATTTACTTTCGGTATTTAAAAAAAAAGGATGTTTAACTCATCCTTACAAGACACCAGCACTAAGACTTGGCAAGACTGAGGGAATGTTCATCCTTAATATTGGTCTTCCTCAGTTGCCAAGAGACAGTGACTTTCTAGACAGATGTCTGTCTGCTCATACTCCACACCAGCTGCCACCTCTTTACTGAGCCAAACCCGTGTGCTTACATTATGCTAGGAAATCCCATAGGTGCTTCTCCCACATATTATGTTATTAATATTAACTGTATTGTCAGTCTGTTTTGAATATCATATTTTATCAATCCAGTGAAACAGATTATGCCAAAAGTAAGGGGCTAGATAAAGGAAATGCTTTTTTATAGTATTTGAATGACTATTATACCTAAAAGTATGTGGTAGGACTTGCTCTAAACAAGTTCTACTTTTGTTCAACATGAAGCATAATAATAATGTATATATAAGGACTAGTTTCATATTCATCTTTAAATTGTACTCTATTGTATATATATATATTCATTATTAAGTACTTAGGAATTTGAGTACTTATAGACTGAGAAATCATAATCTCCCTGGGCATTATCCTAATGGCATATATACACACACACCCTCCTCAACTTGATGTTGAATGAGTTTCTGGTTCTGCTTCAGAAGCATGAAACATTCCTAATGTTAAAAAGACAGAGGTAGAGTTCCTGAGTCAAGTTCGCTCTAGCTGGGTCTCAATATCTGGCGTAATGCCTGACAAGATGTGGTGGTTGTGGAACATTAACACCTAAGATTATCTAAGATGTCCAGAAATTCCTAGGATTGCCAGATAATTCTACTGATGCATTTTAAACTATCCGATAACTGATAGCTTCAAAAGAAGATAGAATTTTTGTTGTTAAGATGGAGAAACTGTTTTATTAATTACCTTTACTGCATAACAAAATACCTCAAAACTTATTGGCTTAAATCAACAATCATTTATTTGCTCATGATTTTGTCAATTGTTAACTTTAGGCTGGACTCGTGGCTTATCTCTGCTCCACATGGTATCACTTGTACTCACTCATACATTGCAGCAAAATGGCAATTGATGGCCTTAGTTGCTTGTCTGTTAGTTGGCTGACTGTTAGGAAAAGCAGTGGAGATAACTGGATCATCATCTAATGGGCTAGCCTAGGCTCATTTCCAAGGTGGCCGTGAAAGGGCTCTTAAGTTCAGTAAAAGAGGGCAAGCCCCAAGATTAAGGCACTTTTCCTTTTTTCTCCAAGACTTATTGTGATATAATAGATAGCGCTTTTCAACTTCCTGCTTGTATCATGTTTGCTACTAGTCCATTGGCCAAAGCAAGTCACATGGCCACAGCCAGACACAGGGATACAGAAATAAGACTCCAGTTCTTAATGGGAGGAGCTGAAAAGTTACACTGCCTACAAATAGACACGCATAAGGGAATGGGAAGACTTTTTGACATTTTTTTTGCATTTTACCACACTGTAGTTTTTCATCCTTTCCAGTCTCCTTAAATTTGGACTTATATTTAGAATCTGCTTGCAGGTTATGTCTACCCTACACTGCCCAAAGTTAAGAATTCTGTTGATTAATTTAGATGTCCTAATGAGATAATGCACACCACAAAAGAGAGATTTTATTTATTTCCTGAATGAGTTACACAGTCAATTAAAAATCCATTTGGATTATATTTGGAGTCTCATGTGCTGTGGCCCTGAAGCACAAAACTAGGTTTTGTTTCTAAATGTAGGCTTTAATAAGAGGGAGGAAATGATACCTGATCTAAGACCTGAAGGATGTGGAGGAACTAGTCAAAGAGAGGGAGGAAAGCATTTCAGGCAGATGGAAATATGACATAAACCCAATTTTGTTAGTCCATTTTGGTTAATCCACATGAGAATATGGAGACACTTTGTACTTATTACATAATGTCATTTACTTATCTGTTCTGAGTTGGACCCTAAGCTTTATAATAGCAGAATCTATAGTAGGTGCTCAATAAATGTTTCTATGAGTGAATAAGTAACTGACTTAGCAAGTGAGTATGAATGAATGAATAATGAGAAAAAGCTAGAATAGACACACACAGAATAGAGAGTCATGCAGAAATGAAAACAGAAAATGAGAGTGCTGTATGGAGAGAAAGAGGATAAAAGGGAGAGAAGGACAGAGAGATAGGGAGAAGGAAAAAGGGACTGAGGGCTCTGAGATAAGTGGTAGAGGTTTGACTCTTTAGTAGTGTCACCAGAGGAGCTTAGCATTTCTTTTATTTTTTTATTTTTTATTTTTTTAAATTGTCTTTTTCTAATTGAAGTATAGTCAGTTTACACTGTTGCATCAATTTCTGGTGTAGAGCATAATATTTCAGTAATATATACACATATATATTCATTTTCTTATTCTTTTTCATTATAGATTACTACAAGATATTGAATATAGTTCCCTGTCCTATACAGAAGAAACGTGTTGTATAGTTATTTTATATATAGTAATTAGTATCTGCAGATCCCGAACTTATCCCTTCCCACCCTCTTTCCCTCAGTAACCATAAGTTTGATTTCTATGTCTGTGAGTCTGTTCTGTTTTGTAAATAAGTTCATTTGTGTCTTTTTTTTTTAAGATTCCACATATGGGTGATATGGTATTTTTTTCTTTCTGGCTTACTTCACTTAGAATAATGATCTCCAGTTCCATCCATGTTGCTGCAAATGACATTATTTTATTCTTTTTCATGACGGAGTAGTATTCCATCACATCCATCCACAACTTCTTTATCCAGTCATCTGTCGATGGACATTTAGGTTGTTTCCATGTCTTGGCTATTGTAAATAGCTTAGCACTTCTTTTAAAATGCTAATTAATCTTTCAGCAGTTCAGAAACAGGCCTTTATGTACTATTGAACAACTTGCCTGTTTTTATTTTCAAACTTCAAAGGTTAGTTTTGAAAGCTTATTTTCTTTAAGAATTTTGGAGACCTTAATATGGGCATAAAATAATTACTTAGATTTTAGTTGTTTCTTTTGAATTATAAGAGGTATCTAATTTACCAGTTCTTACTGAAAATCCTTTTGCATTTCAAAATCTGTCAGATTGCCTTAGTCTTTCTTCTTTGAAGGATGAAGACTGCCTCAAACATTATTGGAAAATGTATTTGAAAATCAGTTTGTGGGGTTTAAAGTCCTAATAGTGGTGATAAACATAGAAACAATTAAAATCACAATTTTCCTCTCAATTAAAATTTTTTTAAGTTTTGATTTGGTGTTTTTGTTTTTGTTTGCTTATTTGCTTTCTGAGGGGAAGGCAATTAGGTTTATTTATCTATATTTAGAAGAGGTGCTGGGACCTTGTGCATGCTGAGCATGTGCTCTACCACTTAAGCTATACCCTCCCCCTTATTATTTTTTTTAATTCTTGTTGTGGGGAGGTAATTAAGTTTTTATCCATTTATTTGTGTTAATGAAGGTACTGGGGATTGAACCCAAGACCTCATGCATCCTAAGCACAACCTCTGCCACTGAGCTATACCCTACCCCCCATTTTTAACCTTAGTGATTCAACTCTGAGTACAAGGGTGATTGTTATGCTCAGGGGCTGTAAAAAGTATTTGACTCTAGAGGAATAAAGGAAATTGGCAATAAACATTCCTAGGTAGAAATCAAAAGTTTGGTCCAAAGCATCAGAATTACCTTAGATACTTGTTATAAATGCAAATTCCAATTTCCCACCCTAGACTTGGAATCAGAGTTCTTTCAAGATGATTTCTGTGTCCAAGGAAAAGAGAGGTCTGCCACATTTAGGCCTTAGTGCATCCAACCTTGCTTTTAGGGTATACGTGGCAGCTTCTGGGGCTATTCTTAGTACTTTTTAAGTATAGTATTTAGTTGAGTAAAATAAGGCCTACCTCTATAAAAAGTCAAATAATAGTAAAAAGCAGTTTATGATTAATGCCGAATTCAATAAGTGCTGGGGAAAGCAGGGATCACAGCAGGCTTGAATCAAGAAAGATTTCGTGGAGAAAAGACAGGTACAAAGTTTGGATGAGGCTCTGAACTCTTTTGTTCTGCCATTTTAACAGTCTGAATCAAATCCAGTGGTCTTAGCTCAAGATGTATTCTTTTTCTACATCCTTCAGAGTATCCAAGATGAAGGAGAATGTTAAACAGAAACGAGAACAAAGAGAACACCTAAATAAAGTCAAAGCCAACGTGGCCAACACACGGAAACAGGCTTTGCAGGAGCAGTTCACTGAGTGGATTCTAGACCCCAAAGGAATGATTCCTATGGCAGTGGTAAGGAAGAGGGTATCTCTCGAGGGTAGATGGGATGGGTGATGAGAGGCTGACTGCCCGATACTGAGCAGAGTGGTAGAAGCCTCCCTCTAAATTTTCTAAATTTACCTGTTGAGGTAAGTCAATTCTTGACCTGTCTGGCCAATTGTCTCTTGAACGTTAAAAAAAAAGGATTTATAAAGGATTCTTTGGATTGTCAAGTTAGTTGCCAAAGGTGCCTTAGCTCCATCATGCCCAGTGTCTGAGGGTTCTTAGAAATGTCCTTGGAGCAGGTGAAAATGCGACACTCTTAGCATCCTAGTTCTCACACAAAATGGTTAGAAATCACTGAGGACATTGCAAAAGCATTTTATATACTTTGAAATATTCTATAAACTAAATATTTGTAATTACTATTTCTGTCCGTGGGTTAGAAGAATTACCCAGAACTTAAGTTGAAAGACTGTAGATGACTTTTAGTCTGAAAACTTAATGTGTGGTTATTGAGAAGTAATATATGGCCTCTTTTCTTTGATTTTCAGATTCAGAATGTTCTTCATGAATTTTTTCAAAATCCAGATTTCCAGCTTGGTAAGCTTGCCCATTCCTGCAGCGTTTATATTGCTCTCTCTTTTTTCGGGGGGTATGGGGAGAGATGCTGAATTAAGATGGCTAATATTGAGGTAAATATTATTCAAAGCTCTTATAGATGTACTTAATTTCTTTTGCTTTTAACAGATGGAGAATGTAGAAAAACAGAGAAACAATCAGTGATTTTTAATTCTTTTAGTTGAATGCCCCATTGTATTACAAATATTTTATAATAACCCTTTATTTTTCTATCAAATTGCTAGAAAATATTGCTTGCATACACAGACTTTTAAAAGAAAGATATGTCATAACTGTGATATAAAGGAGAAGCACAATGAAAGACATAACAATTATATGTATTGTATTTCAATATGTAAAACTCAGTTACAACTTCACTAAAAGACATATGGAGTAGTCAGACATTTGTATCTACTTATAATGAATGTTTAGATACAAGAAAAGTAAAATTATATCCGATCTGCCATTTTCTTTGCATTTGCCATTTTGAAATATGGGCAAAATGAATAGATTTATATATATATGTAGAAACCCCATGAACAGGAGAGCTACAAATGTAGACTAATACAGGTGTGTTACATTGGAGTTCAGAGGCAATTTAGGATATTACCTTCAATTATACACTTTATTAAAATGGTGAACAACTCTCAGTAAAGTTCCAACATGAAGCAAAGTACAATCTTCTGTCAAATTTTCCTAGTAGTTACTTTCTTAGAAAATTCAACAGCACAGAAATAGACTCACGGACAGAGAATACAGACTTGTGGTTACCAGGGGGGTAGAGGGTGGGAAGGGATAGACTGGGATTTCAAAATTGTAGAATAGATAAACAAGATTACACTGTATATCACAGGGAGATATACACAAAATGTTATGATAAATCACAGAGAAAAAATGTGACAGTGAGGGTGTATATGTCCATGAATGACTGAAAAATTGTGCTGAACACTGGAATTTGACACAACATTGTAAAATGATTATAAATCAATAAAAAATGTTAAAAAAAAGAAAATTCAACAGCAAAAATATGGTCTGTGTTTATACGTAAAGTAGAATTAGATTCTAGACTCAAAATTATTCTAAGCAAATTTTTCACCTACTTAAATGTCTGGCAGGAGGGGGAAAGTCTTTATTGTGCAGGAATTGCAGGAATTCTGCCCCTCCTCCTGCTCCCCATCATTGTAACAACAAAAACTCACCTGCCAATTTCCACTATGCTCACTGAGGGGAGCGGGAGACAGTACTACACCTATGGAGAACCACAGGTTTTGATGATTTTGTTCTCAAAAGTTTCTTTATAGGAGATTAAGCAAAAAAATATGACTTGTTGAATAAGAACTAGAGTTTGGGTCATAAGATTTACATAATTTATACCCAACTGATTCTTTCAATTGAATTTTTTCTTTTTTAGAACTTATTTTTATTGATGTATGGTTGATTTACAATGTTGTGTTAGTTTCAGTTATACATGTATATATATATTCTTTTACAGATTCTTTTCCATTATAGGTTATTGCAAGATCATTGAGTATAGTACCCTGTAAACCCCAAAATTCAAAATTTATCCTCCCCACACCATTTTCCCGTTTGGTAACCACAGTTTGTTTTCTATGTCTGTGAGTCTATTTCTGGTATATAAATAAGTTCATTTGTATCATTTTTTCAAGATTCCACATATAAGTGATATATAGGATATTTGAACTTCTCTGTCCGACTTACTTCATTTAATACTAAAGTCTCCAGCCCCATCCATTTGTTGCAAATGGCATTATTTCATTCTTTTTTATGGCTGAGTAACATTCCACTATGTATA